CACACGGCACGCACGTGCGGTCCTGTGAGGCGCTTGGTGGGGCGTCGTTGCTCGGTTGCATGCCCGCACCACATGTGGTCCACGGGACACAGCGCGTGCCGTTGCCACCAATGGCGTTGAACGTCCCCATCGTGCATGCGACGCACACGCGGTTGCGGGTGGTGGTGGGGCGAAGCGCCTCCTCCTCGCCCGGTGCGCACATGTCCACGCGAGAGCACGACAGGCTGCCCTCTGCTGCTGCATAGGTTTGGCCGAGCATGCACGCCGCACACGGTGTGGAAGGGTCGCTGTCATCGTCCGCAGTGCCGGCAGGGCACTTGGGACAGGGGCCAACGTGGCCAGGCGGCGTGTACGTGCCAGCATCACAGGTCGTGCACGCGTTGATGCTGTTTGGATCAAGGTCTGTCGTGCCGGCTGCACACTGCGTGCATTTTCGATCTGTGGTTGTTGTTGGAGCCTTCAGCTCATATTCACCAGCCTTGCACGGCGTGAGCATCCGACACACGCGGTTGCTTGTTGGCGTGGGCGCTGCCGTTTCATACTCGTCCTCTGCACACGCCGTGACGCGAGCACATACAGCATCAGCCGTCGCCGTGCATGGTGTCACCTCGTACAACGCGTTGCCATCAGTGTCCTTGTTGCACGACGCGCATGCCACGCACCGCTGCGACTCTTGGTTCGCAAAGAACCCACGGTTGCACTCGGCGACACACACACCACGCGCCCGGGACATGTCACCACCACCGCCGCCGCTGTTGTCGTTGGGCTGCAGGAAGAGGTTCGATGCCGGCGCACAGGAGAGGCACGCGTTATCTGCTGTTCCATCGCACGTCGCGCAGGTGTCGTGGCACATTTTGCACTGCCCTGCTGAGGTGTCTGCAAACTGCCCGAGCGGGCACGAAGACACGCAGCGCTTGCCATCCAGCGACCACACGTACCCATCAGCACAGCTTGTGCACTTGTCTGCACCCAGGGCAGAGCACGCGGCACACGTGCTGTCACAGGCAACGCACACGGGCGTGGTGAACATGCCACACTCGCCAAGCAGGACCTGGTTGGTGTCACAGTCGTCCGTGGTCGTGCACTGCGCACATGTGCCATCGTCCCGCGTGTACGTGGAAGGGTCCATCTCATGGCACGTTGGTGCCGCTGTTGTGGTGGTGCCGCCTGTCGTGGACTCGGGTGGCGCCGTGCTGCTTGCAGGCATGGTTGAAGTCGTTGATGTCTGGAAGTGCCGCGGGCAAATCGCCCAGAAGAGGCCTTCGTTGTCCTGGTCCTCAACGGCGCGTGGGCAGTACTGTGACACATAGCACCAGGTGCCACATGCGCCACCATCACCGTCGCTGTTGGTCTGCCCCGTGCAGGCGCACGATGGCGTGACAATCGGTGACAGCTTCTTGCAGACGACTGCGCGCTGGGCGGTGCACACCCCGTCATCATACCAAAGGCCAGCAGCACGCTTGTCATCACCCGTGCTGTTGCTTGCTGTTGCAGCGTCCTTGGTCAGGTCGAGATACGCACAGCCGTCCTTGCCACCCTGCGCGGTGGGCTGGCCATCTGCCCAGTTGGCAAACGTACCCAAGCTGTTCACGTCACCAAACGGGGTGCCATCCACCCACATGTAGTCAACACCGCCCGCCACATCCCCATTTTCTGTGGTGCGCAGGCCGATCCAGGCGCTGGTCACGCCGGCGTCTCGCAGCAGCTGCACCACGTTCTCCGTCTCGGGCAGAGAGTGCAGGCTAACAACGGTCGCATTGTCCACGCTGCACGCGTCCACAGCGCCTGCAAAGGATGTGGTGATCGGAGAATTGCCGGCAGTCGATGCCGTGGTCGCCACCTTGTAGCAGCGGTTGTTGATGCGTGTGAACCCGTGCTCGCACGCGGGTTGCTCCACGGCACAGATGCGGGTGAGGTAGAAGTCCGTACAGTCTGGGAACAGGCCACAGGGCGCGCGGTGCAGGGCTGGGAAGTCGCTGTCCACGGTGGCTGAGGGGCACGTGGCGTCAACGTAACACCACTTGTTGCCATCGCCATCCGATGATTGGTGCGCATGCGAGCCCGTTTCCCTCATGTGCCTGTGTCTGTGGTATTGTGACACCGAGTGCGAGTTTGAGGTTGGCATTGTGTACACGCGGGTGCATGCTTTGCACGTGTACATCGTTGTGTGTGCGTGCTTACGGGCGCGTGTGCGTATGTGTGCGTGCGTGCAGGTGTTTCATGTGCGTGAGCGCATGTTGCTTGTCCTCGTCATCGGGTGTGAGTCGCTCACCTGGCGTCGCACATTGCAGGGGTGCTGTGGAGACGATCATGGTGATGATCAACTCTATCATGGGCCGCGACAGCAGGCGCTCTTTGCTCCACATCATCGTGAAGAAGCGTGCGTACACCTGCCACATTTAATTCACATGCTGTGCTGTTTCACCTTCACACACACGCACACACACGCACGCACACACACACACACGCAAACACACACGCGCAAACACACAAAGTAAATGAACGCCGACACAGACACACCCGCAGACGTACACAGCAAACAAAGTGCACACAAAGGCAGGGAGTGTAGTGTATGGGTGTAAACCAACATGATCGTTGTTGTGTGGTATGTCTGTGCTGGCCCGTCGTGGGGGTGCTGTCGA